ATATATATATATATATATATATATATATATATAATACATAATGTCCCAACTTTTTTTAAATTAGAAAACTGAATTTATCTAAGGTGTGTTTAAAACTCGTGCTCCAACCAACCACAGAAGCTGGTTCTAGATTTCCTCTCCAGTTCACGTTTAGGACCCTGAACTCTGAACGAGTCTTACGAGAGTCTGTCTGTTGCAGATGTGTCGGATTCCTAACAAGCACATTTTGGCATTCCGGGGCGGTCAGATGGGTTGTTTCACGCTGCTGTTTTCTCATACTGGAACCTTACTGGCAGCTGCTTGTGCTGACAGAGATGCTTTTCCTGTTGTAGGTAAAACAAACTCCTGGTGCTGATTTACTTTTGTCAAGCCAGTTAACCTGCTGTTTACTCATCTTCTCCCTTCATCAGAAAGAGAGAAGGAACACAGTGCTTCAACATGTTTTCTTATTTCTCCAGTGTACGAGATCCCCTCTGGGAAGGTGCTAGCTGCCTTCAGCGGCCATCTGAAAATTGTGTACGATCTCTGCTGGTCCAGAGATGATAGGAGCTTGTTGTCTGGCTCCTCAGATGGAACTGTGAGGTAAGACTCCAGGTTGTCTTAAGATCTCCTGAAGGCAGCGGTAATGTTTTTACCTCTCTCTGTGTGTGTGTGTGTGTGTGTTTGTCTTACCAAATATCCCAATATGATCAAAGGATGAATTTTAATAATTAATGAATTAATTAAACTCATAAAACTCTAACATAAATGGTGGAGTGCAACTTTCAGTCTTGGTCTTTCATTTCATTTTAAAACTCAACAATTGTTTTTTTATATGAAAGATGGCTGCAGCAATGACTAAAGGCAAACACGGTGGTTGTGTCTTGTCTTGTTGCCCCACCAGGGGGAGTAAGAGCCTTTTTTTCTTGTGACAACATGATTTTTGGCTGGTCTCCTTTATTCTTAGATCATTCTGCATAAAACAAGATGTTTTTTTTTTAATCAACCTCTCCTTCTCACTGTCCTCCCTCAGAGAGTGGAACACAGAGAGGCTTGTGGAGACAGCCCAGAAGGTTCTCCCTCATCCTTCCTTTGTGTACTCCGCTCGGTACCACCCCAGTGCCCAGAACCTGGTGGTGACTGGGAGCTACGACTGTCTGATACGAGTGTGGAGGCTCGATGTGGATGATGTGAATGGCCATCTGCTGCAGGAGTTTGAGGGACACGGCAGCTTCATCAACACAGTCTGTTTTGACTTTGAAGGTAATTTGATGGACAGACTCTTCACAGTGTGTCTCAGATAAGTTTTGAGGAATTCTTCTGTTCATAATTGGTGCGTTTGTTGTGTTTCTATTAACAGGATGTAGAATGTTCTCTGCAGACAACACAGGCGTCATCGTTGTGTGGAAAACGTCAGTCAATGACAGCAGGCATCAACAGAACCCGTGTCATCACTGGTGTATAGAGAAGGTACCAGAGCTGATATGATAACTCCAGGCAACAACTGTGGGATCTCTGCTCCTTGAGGATGTTCTGTCAATGTTTTAGTTTGGATCAAGAAAAAAAATCACCTCTGGCTTTGAAATGAGCTTGAATTTTCTGAGGCATGGACCTGACTAATGATGACGAGTATTTTCCATCAGTCTGTCTCCAGTCATCTCTCACTGCTGTGACCAGATCAGCTTTGAAAGGTTGGAGTTTTGTCAGTGACCTTTTTCTTCAATTTTCAGCCTGACTGAGATTCAGACCGCAGGCCATGTCTGTGTGTCTATCTGTCCGTCCGTCCATCCATCCATCCATCTGTTCATCCATCCATCCATCCATCTGTCCATCAAAGTCGGGTCTCAGGGGCAGCATCTTGAGCAGGGAGGTCCAGATATCTTCTTCCACAGCCACATCTTCCAGATCTTCTGGGAGGACTCCAAGGTGTTCCCAGACCAACTGAGAGACGTAGTCTCTCCAGTGTGTTCTGGGTCTTCCCCATGGTCTCCTCCCAGGCGGACATGCCCAAAGCACCTCCATAGGGAGGCGCCCAGGAAGCATCCTTACCAGATGAACCACCTCAACTGGCTCCTCTCGATGTGGAGGAGCAGCGGTTCTACTCTGAGTCTCTCCTGATAATTGAACTTCTCACCCTATCTCCAAGGGAGAGTCCTGCAGAGGAAACTCATTTCAACCTCATGTATCCACAATCTCATTCTTTCAGTCACTACCCAGAGTTCAGGACCATAGATGAGGGTAGGAACGTAGACCGACCAGTAAACAGAGAGCTTTGTCTTACAGCTCAGCTCCCTCTTCATCACAACGGACCGGTACAGTGTCCGCAGTACTGACCATGTCATGTTCATAAAATGTATTTCTTCAAGAAAAGTTTTTAAGTGTCCAAAATTACAATAGAAGATGTGGTGACTCCCTGTGCCTTGAGGTGGTCCTTTCATCCAGTCACCCAGTCCATGATGGTTTCTCTTTACCCACGTCACCTTGTTCTTTACTCTTTGGGTGGTAACAATGACTTTTGCTTGGCTTTTCTGTAAATCCCATTTCTTTTTAGTGATTTTTTACATTGACTCCCATTTCAGCCCACTTTTTTCCATTTTTGTTCATTTTCTGTTTTACAGATGGATTACTTTAAGTTTTCTATCTTGACACTTGCTTCACTTGTACAACCATCCCATTTTGTTTGAACTCAGTCCAGATTTTAGACAAGCTGACTGGAACAATCAACACATCGCAATGATTTGCATTTAAGAAAATTCATCCTGTATTTGCTCTTTGCAGAAAATCAGTGAGAGTGACCTGAGCGGTACATCCATCAACATGCTGCAGCTTCATCCCAACGGCCGGTGTCTGCTCATACAGGCCAAAGACAGCGTCCTGAGGATGATGGATTTGAGGATGTAAGTTTTAAAAGTTAAGAAAATTCAAAGTATAGCTTTTTTTGTGTTTTTTAAAATAATCCACATCCACCCGCTCTGTTTTATGCCAGAGTTCAACACTGAGATTATCTGTCTGACATGAAGAGATGAAGTTCTAGAAGTTTTGGTCAAACCTTGACTTTAGGTGCAATCCATACAAGATCTCTGAAGATGTTAGCTCTCAGAGTGTGTGCTGAGGATGACTCTCTGCTACCACTACATCCAGTTTTAGTTCGTGATTGTTAAAATTGAGATCGTAGGAGCCATTTGTGGTGTGGCCTGTTTGGTTAGCCATGGCTGCCATTTTGATTCTGGGTGACTCCAAAAGTTAATCAGTTGTAGGTAGACCTACTTCCAGTGATTACTGTCTGAGAGTCTCACTACAGTCTGATCAGAATTTTATGAAATATTTTGTTGACGGACTGACAGATGGAGTTTAAAACTTAATAGATAGAAATAATAAGTTTTAGTTGGTGCTTGGGGTAAAAGTTGGGGATGAGTCTCAGCTACCTCTTTAGATTTTTACAGGATTTCTGTAAAATTATCAAAGTTACCCTCATTTTTGTGTTTTCTCACGTCTTTTGTCAGCCAACTTGACTGGTCCACTCCAAATGTTAATCAGTTGTAGATGTACATCCAATAATTGTTTTCTGAAAGTATTATCAAAATCCATCTTTTGGTTCGTCAGAACTATTGCTAATATGACAAACGAAGATGGACACAAACAATTCAGCCTAAGGACAAATATAAAAAGAAAATAAGGACATGAGTTCTGGTAAGGTTTAACAAATGTTAAGTCTTCTTTACTAATTATGGTACATAAACACGTGCTCTCGTCAGGCTGGCTGTGAAGAAGTACGCCGGAGCTACAAACTACAGGGAGAGGATTTCGAGCACGTTCACTCCATGTGGGAGTTTCATCTTCTCTGGCAGCGAGGACGGGATGGCGTACGTCTGGAACACCGACACAGGTGGTGCTCTTCGTTTTGTTTGTATTAAATATCAACCTCAGCAGTTTGTCACCAGTGTTGAAGGTATTCTGGATTGTGTCTTACTGATTATTGCCTGCCACAAACAGAGTAAGGGCCATTATTAATTACGGTAACTATTTTTTGTAGCGTTAGTAAAATGTACATGGATGTACATCCATACCAGATTAACGTTTTGAAGTTAACCCAATTCAAGATGGCCGCCACAGCTAATCAAATTTAGTTGACATGAAAATGTCTAAACTCTGTCAACGTTACAGACACTGAGCTAAAACTTGATGTAGTTGTTCTCAACTCATCGTCAACACAAACTTTGAAACTGACAATTTATAATTTTGCATGGCAGCGCTCCTATTTTCAACATTTGACCAAAATGATTATCGTTTAACTTTCACATTTATCATAACATTTCTGTAATTTCTGGACTATTGAGTGCACCCAAATATAAGCCACGCCCACTAAATAAAAAAAATTAATTACAAAAATTTAACATTTATACGCTGCGCGTGTCAATAAGCCGCTGGCGTTCACGCTGTAACATGAGATATTTACAGAGAGATGTAAAAACTTTTAATCAAATACATACTGCTATTTTGCCTTTATTTATACAGGTCGTCTCATTGAGTCACGAGGACCCACCCCCAAGAGAGGCGTGCATTATTTATTAACCTTTATTTAACCAGGCACATCCCTCTGAGATCACAGATCTTTTTTACAAGGGAGGCCTGAAGGCAGCCTAACATGCATGTTTTGGTCTGTGGGAGGGAACCGGAGTACCTGGAGAAAACCCACGCAGCACGGAGAGAACATGCAAACTCTACACAGAAAGACCCCAAGTCCAACTGGGGATTGAACCCAGGACCTTCTTGCTGTGAGGCAACAGTGCTAACCACTGATCCATCGTGCTGCCATTAATTGGGCAGCTATGTGAGCGCCCGGGTGTGACGAGGCTAAATGTTTTGGTGGCATGAAGCTTGTTAGCTTGTCAAAAAATAAAAATCCATAAATTTGCCACAGCTGCGAGATTCAAAGTGTTTGGAAAAAGTAGCGGCTTATAGTCCAGAAATTGTGGTAAATGATAAATGTCTGGTTTGGAAGGTGGTGGGCGATATGCATTCACTGAAGGACTGCTACATTTGAATTTGACTGTTTTCTCAGGTGACCAGATCGCGGTGTACTCTGAGCTCTGTTACCGCACCGCTCTCCATGGCGTCTCTTTCCACCCTTTTGAGAACATGGTAGCTTTCTGTGCATGTGGTCAGAACCAGCCTGTGCACGTGTACCTGTATGATCGCAAAGGTTCGTGTTTTGGAAAAAAATACTGAGTAGGATTGTAGTTTTCTGTTGTTCCTCACCCGTTTACTCTGGACAGTGTCCCAGCTGGAGACGCAGAGCGGGAAGGCAGCGAGCAGATCAGCGTCTGCAGACAGAACGCTCAGAAACACACCGGACTCACTGCAGGACACGTCTGCTCCGTCTGCCGTGGATCAGTTTGCCCACGCAGCACGACTCGAAATGAAGCGGCAGTTTGTAAAGGAACACTTGGACTCGGTTCTTGTAAATGCTCATCTTCTTTAACTCACTACATGTTTAACGCTTGATGTTTAAATTAGTCAAAGCCAACGCTCATATTTTCACACCATTTGTAGGAGCCACATCAAAGGTCCTCAGCCTCTGGATTTACATCTGACCATGGTATGAAAACATCTGCAGAACCATCGTGATTTACAGAGTTGCATTTGATTTTTCCTGAGTAATATTTTTGTTTTTGTACATGTTTTATTATTTTATGTTTGCAGATAAAACGGGCATCAGTCACTCAGGGAGGAGCTTCACATCAGACACTGGCACAGTGAGTTACGTCCGTCCACCATAACGTCCACTGAAAGACATAAAATCTGCTTTTTATATGGTTCAACTATCAATAATGACTCAACTCTCAGTAATCTGTCGTTAATCCTGAGGCTGAAACACCACTCAGGTTTTAAGCATAAAGTTAATACAGAGTTAATAAGCATGGGATCAACACGTTTTTTTATTTTTGTATTTAAATGAAAATGTGTATTTATTATGACACACACAGGACATCTTGACCCCGATTCTGAAAAAGTTGGAATGTTCAGGAAAACTAAGAAATAGCTAAAAAAAATGCAATGATTTATAAATCTCACAAACCCAAATTTTTTTAACGAACATAGTAAACATATGACATGTTGAATGTTTTTGGAGTAACGTTGAATTTTATGACAGAAACATTTAAAAAAGACAAAACAAGGGCGACAGAAGGCTGTAAAAGTACGTGGTGGGGATAAGAAACAGCTAGAGGAGCATTTTGCAACAAATTGGGGCTATTTGGCAGCAGGTTCGTAAGAGGACTGGGTATAAAGATGGGCAGAGGTTCACAAGACTGTGCAAAATGCTCTTTCATGCAAAGAAGCTGAGCACCGTACAGAAAAAACTGCTGTCTTCTCTGGACCAACGCTCATTTAAAATGGACTGAGGCAAAGTGGGAAACTGTTTCATGGTCAGACGAACCAATGAACGTCACATCGTGACCTGAACAGAGAGACCATCCATTGTTATACACTGGCTGGTTCCTGCCTCTCTGATGGTATAGGGCTTCATATGGGCTCGTCATGGGTAGCTTACACATCTGGAAAGGCTCCATCAGTGCAAAATGGTATATACAGAAAACAACATGTGTTGTTATTCAGACATCTTTTTCAGGGATGGCCTTGTATATTTCAGTGAGACAACACCAAACCTCATACTGCATCCCATCACAAGAGCATGGCTCGATACTGGAAGAGTTCAGGTGCTGAAATGAAGACCTGGACTGTAGAACAGCAGCTGGGGAGGTCCAGACATCTCTCTCCACAGCCTCTTCCAGCTCTTCTGGGAGGACTCCAAGGTGTTCCCAGGACAGCCAAGACTTAGTCTCTCCAGCGAGTCCTGGGTCTTCCTCGGGGTCTCTTTCAAGTCAGACATGGCTGAAGCACCACCCTAGGGAGGTGCCCAGGAAGCATCCTTACCAGAGTTAATGACCAGAGGTGAGGGGAGGAACGTAGACCAACCGGTAAACAGAGTTTACCTCAGTTACGTTATTTTCTAAAATAAGAATTGATGAGATTTTTTACAAATCGTTGCATTCTGTTTTGTTACAATTCACACAACGTTCCAACGTTTCTGGAGTTGAGGTTGTATTGATGGTAAAATGTTCAATTTGTATTACAAAATCCATTTCTTGGCTTTGTAAGTACAAGCCAGCTGTTTTCCCCCTCAGATGGGATTAAACGTGTCGCTGCCGCCTCCATCTCTCCTGTCGCCGCACTCCAAGCTGCAGCTCTCTGCTTCTTTTGCAGAACAGCTTATCCCCCAAGCTGCTCTGAACACACAAACCCGTGAGTGTCTGGTTTAATTAGTCACCAAGTTACGTGCGTTTAATCAGTGCATGGCTTTTCTGGAGTTGCTAAACAAATGAGGTCAAATGTTTCTGGAGATTATCTCAGTCTGAAGTCCTGCTGGACGTTCAGTTGCAGTCAGAAGTTTCCTTCCACTCATTCTCATCAATGTCCAGTTAGGTTTTTTTCTTTTTCCACAGTGGAGTGAAATCTATAACATATAATTTCAACGTTTTTTCAAACAATTGTTTTATGCTGAAGTTTAAATTTATTATGAGGTTTCTTTAATCAACCCGGCTCAACTATATCCGTGCCCCCCACCAATTGGTTAAATGTCCCTCAGCAAGTTGCACTGGGACCAGAAGCTTTTTGTCGTTGGAAACTAAAAGCACGAATCGATGAACTGCAGCAAGTGATCTGATCTTTGTTGATGTTTTGTCATGAACTTCCAGGGGACGTTAGTCCAGTTGGTCAGCATCTAAAAGGAGCTTCATCTTTTAGGCGCCAGGTGGTGAGGCTTTGCTTCTTGTTTCTTCTTCTTTGCAAACCGAATGAGGATATTCTCTCTGTTAAGGCAGCTAGACGCCATCCAGACCATTTGAGATTAAAATCATGTTTTTCTGCAGCAGACCCTTCCTGATCACGCCTCCTCAGGATTTTATGTGGAAACAGATTCCAGCCCCGTTCAACAAGTGGTGAGTACGCACCGTGACGTCACCGCAAACCCACTTTCTAACAAGTTGGGACGTTGTGTAAATGTATTTGATTTGTCTGACCACCGGACAGTTTTCCACTTCACCTCAGTCCGTTTTTAATGAGCTTCCAGAGAAGACGGCAGCAGTTCTGGATGGTGTTCCCACTATCTTCATCTTTGTCTGATAGAGCTTTAATCAGTATTTGTTGTATAGCACATCAAACGTCTGTTTACAGACAATGATTTGTGGAAGTGTTCCTGAGCCCAAGCAGACCTGGTTTTATTACAGTGGCCCCCAAGGGCCCGGAGATCACGAGCATCCAGCACAGACTTGTTCTTTGAACGCGGAGATTCTCAGGATCTTCAAATGTTTTCATGATATTATGAACTTTAAGGGATGGGATATTCAAGGTCTTCACAATGTTCCACTATTTTAAAAGTTTTTCAGATTGGCAAACCTCTGCCCATCTTTACTTCTGAGATTCAGCCTCTGTAAAATGCTTTTTATATCCAGTCCTCTAACTGACCTGTTGTTAATTAACCCATCCATCCATCCATCCACCCATCCATCCATCATCTTTACCAAATTAACCTAATTTGTTGCAAAATGTTCCTCCAGTTGTTTCTTATTCTCAGCTCTTACTTTTACAGCTTTTCGTTGTCCCCGTCTCAACTTTTAGGAGATATGTTGATAACATAAAATTCTAAATTACCTTTTTTTTCCCCCTTTCATAAAAAATAGCACAATTTCTTAGTTTTAACATTTAATGTTAACTATGTTTCATTGTGAATAAAATATGGGTTTATGAACTTTGCAAATCATTGTGTTCTGTTTTTAATTGCGTACATTTTACACAACCACCCAACTTGTTCAGATTTGGGCTCGCACCAGTTACTACATGCATTACATACATGACCTCTTTGTGTTTTTCTCCCAGGTGGTTTCCCTGTACGAGTACAAAGCTAATCGCTCTGATGAACTGACCATCCGGCGCGGTGATGTCATCCAAGTTCTGTTCAAAGACAAAGAGAACGACGCTTGGTGGTTTGGGCGCCTGGCCAGCGGGCTGCAGGGATATTTTCCTGCTTCTTACGTCGTAGATCAGAGTAAGTGCATCATGTTTTTATCACCCTCTGCTAAAAGGTGTTAACATTCCTGATAATCCACCTGCTGAGATTATAAAACATTCAGAAAGTAATCATGACCTTCTGGTGTCAACCCAATTCAGGATGGCCCTTATAAACAGGGCTTTAAACTTACTCAGATTTACACATATAGAGATAAAGTTAGTTGTTGTTGTAGCTGAGACTGATGCCCAACACATTCTGAGCTCTAAAGAATTGGACAAATTGTTTAAATATTGTCATTAAAGAGTTAGTCAACCTTTTCTGTCCATTTACAAGATATGTGATCTGCATTCCTTGAAGCCTTTAGTTATAATTTGCAGCGTCATTGTGAGTTCTTGTTTTAGGTGAATTCAGAGACGAGGCTGCAGAGACGCACACAGCTTTGTCTGAGAGGACGACGGAGAGATCGACGCCAACAAAGGTGAGAAAACCACGAGTTCAGAGCAGTTTCTGCTAATGGTTATGGGTGAAGAGTGCAGGAGGTGGAGGATGGGATTAATCCACTCCAGATTTTTATTCTCCTGGGTGGGGGCTGCCTTGTCTTCTTAGATGCTCTGCACTGCAGGTCTAAAGTGGGCGGGGCTTGTTAAAATGCACGACAGGGTTCCATTTTTCTGCTGTTTCAGTATCTTTTGCTGTCCCACTGCTTTTATTTTGAAGGTGTCTGCTGTGGTTAGTTCTTCCGGGGAGCTTAAGTTTCTCTCTGAGCCCACTTTTTCAGACACCGAACCCGAGCTGACCGGCACCAAGTAAGAGTCTCACTTCGTCTAAATCCCTCTGTCTGTCTGAGGCGAGATTACCGAACGATATGCGGCCGCTGTACTTTCTTTCCAAAACTTTGTTGGTTAACCGATTGTGGCTGACATACAGGAATGCATTTAGACAGAGTTTGAATGCTGATTTTAAAATCTGTTTTTCTTACAGAACTAGAAGGAAGAAGAAAGTGAAGAAGTCTGGAGAGCCAGCAGCCTCAGAAACTTCAGGAGGGCTCAGAGGCAGATCAGCAGACAGACCTCTCCCCAAGAGACCAACCGGCCAGACCAACAGTGCCTTTGAGCCCGAAACATGAACCCCTGGACAAATCAAACAGCTGGACTTTATCAGTGTATTTAGATCATTTCATCAAGTAGAATTAAACATTAAACTACTTTTGTATCATTTTAAATGTCTATTATTGATAGCATTAAAAGTCAAAACCAGTTATTTAAAATATTTTATAGTTTAACTATTGTATAAAACAGAAATTGTAGTTTTGATATCATTTGTTTTAGCCGATGCCAAAAGGTTTGATTTATACGTGGCACTGAAATGTAATTCTGTTCAGTTTTTATCCTGCATTGTCACGCAGCTCTGAAATAAAACGTGCACATTATTCACCAAAACATGCATCTTGATCAACAGTGCTATTAGAAGTGGAACATCAGATCATTTATACAATTCGAAAAAGGTGTGAGCAACATTTATAATTCATTGTAATTTTTGTGCATGCAGCCAAATACACAGTTTGTTTGCCTCATGTCCAGATTTTAAAGCAACATTCTGGGCCTTCAGTAGATGTACTTCCTGCTCTGTAAGAGTTGACAGATTTTTCCAGTTTGATGATGTCACTAACTTTTGGGCTGTACATTTTTTTATATTTTGAAAACTATTCTTATTCCCCTTTTTTGGTGCATATATAAATGATGGAACAAAACCTCGGCACCTCTTGTGTTTTTCTCACTGCTATAGGACTCACGTTTTTTCTCAAATTTTCATTGAATTTTTTTATTTAACCTTTATTTATCCAGGTAGTCTCATTGAGTCACAACTCATTTTTAAGAGACCTGTTGGGGAGCAGAAGGTGGGGGTTAAGGGCCTTGCTCAAGAGTCCAGAGTCGAGTAAATGAGGGTGGAGGCAGGTGTGGGTGTTTCACCTTTGATGTTGCCAGTCTGGGGAGTCGAACCGGTGACCTTCCGATCACAGGCCCACCTGCTCTAACCTCTGCGCCACCACTCGCCCACATACTAATACAAAGCGCTTCCATAGACTTTAATGTTTTAGCTGTAAATGTTTTTATAAATCAGGAAGTGAAGAATCTTAACTTCACGTGTTTGGTCTGTCCTACACACAGCAGCGGTTTGAGGCTTACTTTTCAGTCTGCCTCATTAGCTTGTCAGTGAGTGACAGACGTGGTTACCATGGTGACACGAGCCACTGGCAGCAGCTTTGTTTTTTTATATCCTGAATCTTAGATGTTTTTTTTTTTAAAGTTATTTTAGGGGGCAGTTGTTTTGGCACTCAACATTTTTTTCAGGATTTTTTTATTGTTTTACTTAATTTAAGTTTTTTAATTAAACTTGTGGGTGTGACTGACGTCAGGTCAGTTTATTTGTCGATGCGTTTATGGAGACCGAAAGTCAAGCAAATCCAGTGTAAGTACGACGGTTTCATTCCTTTGTACTTCCAGGACGCGCAGACAGACCCTGAGGTTTCCTTAAATGTAAAATCTTAGAAAACAGAATATTTACACGGAAGGGTCTCGGAACAAAGGTCCACTTTGGGTTCGACGTGGACTCTAATGTTCAGTGAATACGAATGACTTCATTGCACCAACTTCACACACACGCACGCACTGTTTTTATTCTGCTAAACATCCGTTCAGGAGCGGAGTGCTTTCATCGGTGTGTTGACCGTCCTCCTGCACGCTAAAATGTAAAACAAAGGTGAAAATTATTTACAGCTTGCTCTTTGCACAAATAATGATTCAGTTACATTTTTATTACGTCCTTTGAGTAAAACATTTCTGTGTAAAGGATGTCCGATAATTACCTGTGTGGCTTTCGGCGACAGAGACAGTGAATCATGAGAAGAAGGGCCTGGAAACAGAACAGGCACCAGTTTACAACACGGCAGAAATCATCATCAGTGTTTATGTTTATACAACAATAAGAAAAGTTATCTGAGTAGAACAAACCACGTTTAGTTCGTTTTACTTGAAGCCAAACATGAAAACATACACGAGACACATTAACTTGCAAACTCCGAGTTAACTGACTCCAAGAAGAAAACCGAGTTAGAGATTGGTTAATGAACTCCGAGTATCTCAACCACCTCTTTAAGTGGGTAGGATGAAATTAGAATTGGACTGGGTAAGAAGTTTTTCTTGTCCGAGTAAAAACTAGAAAGCAGAGTTTCCTCAAATGATTAGGACAGCTGATTTACCACACACACACACACACACACACACACACGGCAATGTCAACCTTGGAATTTGACGTGGCAACCCGACTTTCGATAGCGACCTTTCTTACGTGCAGCTGTAGCTACAAACTAAGAAGGAAGTTGATTTCTCACTTATTTTTCAAGTTATCCAGCTCAGACGACGCAGACATTTACGGTGGCAGCCATCTTAGAATTTGATGTGGCAGGGAACCTTTTTTATGCCTAGAGGTAGCCAGACACCAAAATGGTCAAAGATTAATCTAAGGTGGCATCAATGGTGACAATCTAAAAAAAACGAGATAATAAAAGAAAAATATCCCTGTGCTGTTCTCCACATTGTAACTCCTACACATTTGAACATCTTGCACCAAAAACTTTTGCATTTCCTGTTCAATTCCAGTGCAGAAAATCCCCCATCTTGAAAACTACAAACATTCACTGTTCAGGTCCTTGAGTGATGGGAACACTGGTGTAGTGCTTGTATAGTTTCACTGGGAAGCCGAGCTCAGAGCACGGAGAGAAATCCAGATTTAAGAGCAGCCTCTGCAAAGGATCCCCCTTCTTAAGGATTTTTCTTCTTACTAGAGTCAAAATAGTTTTGTTTTATTTTAGTTAACTAATTCCACCATTTCTCTTTTCAAATGCAAGTTATGTTTGTGATTTTGTTTGAGTCATTATGAGGTCAATGCTGAAACAATTTTACATATATAAACTAAAAATTGGAACTAATTTTAAAGCTGCTCCGGATGGTGAGGGACTGTGTTTTCCTTACGTCAGTTTCTGGAATGAAAACTGAGTTTCTCTTTAGAGTTAACTGACTCAAGAGTTTTTACTGAACTCACTTTCTGGAATGTCTAAACCACGATTCTTTATGTGACGTCAAGCAAACGAAAACTGTTATACTTACAGCCAGAAACGTCATGCCTCCTTGAACTGCAGCTGCCCACTCAAAGTTCAGGTTCTGTGTGATAACACCTCCCACTATAGGGCCGTAAAACATCCTTAAAAATAAAGTTATCATTAAAAACCCAAATCTAAACGAGAAAGGTCAAAGGTCAGCAATAACTCCTGAACTCACCCCAACGACCAAAAGGCTCCGAACAAACCAGACACCATCCCGAGAGTGCTTAGTCCCTCCTCAAATCCCTTTTCACTACAAACAAACAAACAAACAAAGCAGGCAGTTTGTTTTTGTTTTTAAGTGTTTCCAAGCGGACCTGATGAATGTGAGCAAACATGCGGACACTCACTATGCACATGTGATGATCTCAGGGAATGTGGGGATGGCAGTCATTCCCAGAGAAAACCCAATTAAACCGAGCATGACGATCAACAACCACAGCTGGCTTCACGGGAAGAAACCACAACACACAGAAACATTAGCGCATGTGCTTCCTGTTTCTTTATTCCTTCTAAAATCATTTCATCACTTTGACTTGTCTGAACAATTAAAGGACAAACCTTCCTGAAAACAATGCACATCACCCACGGCCTCTCACGCTGTATGTTTAGACTGAGATCACCTCTGGGATCTTAGTGGTCTAAGGGTTGGGGGAACTCTCACATACTACCACACTGTTTTAACCCACCTCAATAATTTGAACAAACCACGCCCCCTTCAGGACCCTGGTGCAGGTAAAGTCAAGTGTTCCACAGCCAAGAGGGAACCTGCACTGTTCCTCCTTAATTTGAGGTTTGACCATTGACCAGACTCTCTTCTCCAGCACCCCTGAACAAACTTCACTGGGGAGGCCGAAGAGAGTGATGCAACTTGTAATTGGAGAATTACCCCTTTTTAAAGAGGGGAACCACCATCCCAGTCTACCAGTCCAGTGGAACAGCCCTTGATGTCCATGTGATGGTGCAAAGGCGTGTTAACCAACACAGCCCAGCAACATTAAGAGCCTCGAGGAACTCGGGACACAGTAGAGGGACGTAAAATTACACAGCTTCTTCAGAGGATCTAGAGTTGACCCAGTTCTAGCTTTTGAACCTGCACTAGCATCGTGGATTCCACCTGAGGTGAGCCATCACCTTGAGATGTGAAGAAAAGGAGCTGGACCGAGCAGAACAAAACCGGTAGCTGTGATGAGGCCTCCAGCGACTGTAAATCCATTCCTAGAGACCTGGGGAGCATGGAGACAGAAATTATTTTAAAGATACACCGACTTCCTGTATTTAGCCTTTCTGCAGCCGTAACACTCACAGGATATTTATCTGTGAAGTAACCGATCAGTGGTGATGCCAGACAGTACGGTAAGGACAAACCAAGCATGATGAGCCCCACATAGCCAGAAGAGAGATTAAACTTCAAACACAAGAAAAATAAAAAATACATAAAATACTGTTACAAAATGTACCGAGAACAACAAGAAAATAAATTATGTAATCACACACAAATACAACTTCTGTCAAACACAGCATAAACACGGTGACTTCATTAAGACTTGCTACATTTTACAATTAATTGGTCAAATTTAGCAAGCAGAACACGAGCTAAAGTCAGAAAAACAAAAGCTAAAATTAGCAAAACTACTGCTAAAAACTGCAACAGCAAATCCGGACATAAAAGCAGCCAAATGGGCAAAAGTAAAAAAAAAAAAGGGGTCAAATTAAGGCTAAAAGTTGCAATCAGCTAAATTAAAGCTAAATTTAGCCAGAGTAGGTAAAAGCCAAATAACAGTGGCTAAAAGCTAAAATTAGCAAACCATGACTAAAGCTACAATTATCAAAATCATAAGTTAAAATAACAAAACAGTAGTTAAAAGCTAAAAGCAGCTAAACAGTAGCTAAAATCTCAAATTAGCAAACAAGCAATTCGGCATGGTATAAAATTTGCAACACTACAACTAATCCTAAAAATGAATAAACTTTAGATAAAAGCCAAATGTAGAAAAACGTAGCTGTTGATATTTTTCTTTTGGCTGCTCCCTTCTGCAGGGGTTGCCATAGCCCTTCTACAGCCTGGACTCAAATCTACAACCTTAGAGTTTGAAAACTGCAGCTCTGACCACCGAGCTACCACAGCCTTTAGCAAAGCCACAGCTAAACGTTAACTGTAGCAAGACGGTAGCTAAAAGCTAACAGGAACATAAGACAAAAACAAAACAAGTATGCTGAGATAATTTCCTGTTTCTGGGAGAAAAAATAATAGATTTGAATGTAGTATATAATGTTCTATATAGCTTTTATAAATACAAAAGTATAAAAGTTACAGAAACCAAAATGTATATATTCCATACTGAGCTGATCATTTGATATATGAATGGTTAAAATTGCAAAATGTGAAAGTAGTTTGATTTAAAAAAATGTACAGAAAAATACCATGAACAGGAAAACGTGAGTGCTGACTCAGCAGTCAGCCCAATAATTAGGACCTTACCGTCTTGATTGCAAAGAGCGACAGAGTGGCGTCGATGAAGCCCAGCCCTGAGCTGAGGGTAAATATCACAAAGCAAATCAGGACAACTCTGGTTTGTGTGAGAAGTCGAAGGAAAGAATCCTTTGACGGATCTGCCTCTAGAGCGAAGTGAAACACAAAAACACAACTCAAAGTTTGAATCAGTAAAATACGTTTAGAAAAGTTATTTTAAAAAGAAATGTCAACTTAATACCAATGGACGGCAAAACATAAACGTTGAAGGGAACCATGATCAGAAGGAAACATCCAAGCAGTATGAACGGGACTTCGTATCCAAAAGCGTGGTAGAACCACCCTCCCACCGGTGGTCCCAGTATGAGCCCGAGTCCTGTGAAAATCTCCAAACTTCCCTAAAAATGCACATAAAGCAAAACATATGACACAGTAGGGCTGCACAGCATGTCAACAACGTGTCGTCACGGAGTGCACAACAGTGGTGCTAAAGCTAAATGCTAAGCCAAATGCTAAAGCAACAGGAAACAATGTGACCACGGTGCGGACTAACGAACATTAATAGAATTAATGTTGAAAACGATGTAGTTGTAGATATACGATCAAACTCTGTAGACATTATGTCTGAGCTCATGCCACTGCATGAGGTCCCACTCGGAGTATGTATTCAATTCAATTCAGTTTATTTCTATAGCACCAAGTCTCAGCAGGTCACCTCAGGAAACTGTACAGAAACATTCACAGACATTATAAAAGTGAATTAATAAAAATTATCTATCTCAGGAAGCAGCACATTGTGCTGAATCTTCGCTTTATCGCAGTCTCCCACCCTGAGCGAGCACAAAGGAGACAGTGGAAAGGAACAACTCCCTTTAACAGGAAGAAACCTCCAGCAGAACCAGACTCAGGATGAGCGACTGAGAGAAACCTGCGAGCTGCTGAAACCGAGGGAGCCGAGCTACAGCTGTCGGATCTGGGAGCTGTTGCAGCGGAGACCCGGTCTGCCGCCGTTTGGACCTGCGAGCTGCTGGGGCCGAGTGAACCGAGAGACCGCGTGGGATCTGGGGGTTGTTGCCGCTAGGCCTCGCTAGGCCTCGCTAGGCCTCGCTAGGCCTCGCTAGGCCTCGGCTAACAACATAAGCCTGTGAACCTCGTGGCTAGATCTTGTGCTTCTGAGAGTTGATACCAACGATCCAGAAGTATCGTGAGTAATGCCGAGCAAACAAAGGAAGCAAGAGTCAGAAAATAATTCAGAAGATATGGAGGAAGTTAAAAAATCTTTGAACTTTATGAGCGCTGATGTGACTAGATTATCATCTAAGTGTGAACTCCTGACCGGACTGTTTGAAGAAGTGAAACAATTGAAAGAAGTGATAAGTAATAAAGACAAAAAAAATAGCTGAACTGGAACAAAAAGTAAACGACATGGAACAATACACAAGACTAGACAACTTGGTGATCACTGGACTGGAAGTTAGGAACCGGACATATGCAAGAGTTGTTGCTGGTACTAACACAACAGAAGACGCACCACAGGAAGAGCTACAGACTCTGGAGGAGCAAGTAGTGAATGTTTTACAAAACAAAGACATTGACATCGAACATGAGCACATTTCACTCTACAATAGTTATTGAATCAAGTGTTTACTTATGTAGGTAAACTTAGATGTTTAACAACCTGTTAAAATACACCAGAATGCAGAAAACGGCATCTATTTATTCTAAATTTTTGGGGGGAGGACCCTCAGACTCCCCACATTACACCAGTGATGGTGGTCAAATAGCCCCTAAGCAAACACGTACTGTCATTAAGTTAAAGGACGTTCAGAGGGTTAAATACGACAAACAGAGCAGATTATTTCCAGTAAAACAAAACAAGTCTAACTATAGTGTTTCCATTGTCTCGTGATTCTAATGGCTCCACAACATACCAGGCAGACAAGACAAGTGCTCTCACCAGAACAGTCGCCACGTTGTTGGGGAATATTTTTGCTGTCATGGCAAAAGACGAGGTCATGGCAGCAGCAAAACCCAACGCGTCCAGAGACCTCACGATAAAGCACAGAGTGATGAAGGTGGCTCCTGCTGGAGCCCGATCGAGTAATCTGGAGAAATAAAGGAGCAAATATCAGATGTGGAAATAATACTTTAAATGAGCTCACACATTTTTTATTAAAGAATCAGCTTTTTTAATTGTTGATTTTAATTTAATCAATTTTCACTTTGTTTCTTCTTTACTTTTTTGCAATCTAAATATGTTTGAATACTTTGTGTCCATTCATAAAATACAATGTTCATTATTTTCCAGGAGATGGATGTTATGAATTTAAAATTTTATAAGTTTCACATTTTTCAAAATATGTACATTTCTAGAATTTATTTCATGGAGCTTTTTGCGTTTTTACCTTTTGCAGTTTTTTTTTTAAACTACATTTAACTTTTACCAAGCCATATGCCACATTTAGCATTTAGCTAAACCATTACTTTTAGCTCATGTTTTGCTGTCTTTGTGTTATATACAGTATTATTCTTTTAGCTTTAACAAATCAGTTTTAGCTTTTATCAAACCTCAGTAAAGTCATGCAGCGCTCAGCATTTTGCAAAAAGCTTCAGTTTTTTAATACATGCATTTATGTTGCTTTATTTTCTCATATAAATGCCCAAATGTGTTCAGATTGTATGAAAAATGTAATAATAACCATATGCTTCTGTGGAAGGAGGTTGTAAACAAACGGGAGCTCTTCTTACCCAAACATAATGGTGCAGCCCGATGACACAAAAAGTCCTGCAATTAACATGAACTTTGCACCAATTTGGACAATCTACAGAAGAAATGTCAATCGGTTACGCCTGAGCAGAAAATCTCACATTGGACTCTGATCACTGATGTAATGGTAATGTGTACTTACATATTTCCCCAGTAATAAAGAACCAATTAAATTGCAGACAGCATAGCACCCAAATATCAGGCCAACCACCGTCTGACTGGCTCCCTTCTTTACTGCCTGTGTTGGAATATTCAAACAGCTCAATGGTCAGATTAATAATCTCACAGCAAAATGATGTGCGACCGTGCAACTCTGCGATATCTGCATGAGCTGTTAGTGTTTGGAGTGTGTGTAGGATGCTCTGCTGATGTCACACAACATTTGAGCTTCTCATCAGTAAAACCGACTCAGTCACAGCTGATTTTGTTTTCTAAGACTGCGTCGCTGTGGCAGCCGTCCTGAACGGGACGCACTTTAAAAAAATCCATCAGTTGTAGGCGTTTGTTCCATAATGACTGAGACTTTCGTTAAAAAATGTCCATATTCAGGAGAAATGTTACTATTTGTACAAACAAACACAAACACATGATTTTACATTGGCCAATAAATTAAAGCGCATGCAAAAAGTGGATAAAAAGTTTTGGTGGGATCTCTGACTACTTGCACATATTTCCTTAATATGATATTTCTCTGTTCTACTAAAAGTTATAGAATGTGGCACGTCAAAACTCAGAATAACTGAAATTACATGTTTATTACATTTTTTCTCCTAAGAATGTTGCCATTATTTACTGGTGCGATGACATACATCGGTTGGAGTGGAGACCAATGAGTCAAGGCTCAAAAGTTATAACATGACAATAAAGTTATACTTTATTTTAGCCCTTATGGACAATATATGGGTCGAAATGATTAAACTTGATTAACTCGCAATGTTTAATTTATTAACTAATGCCATTGGGATTAGTTAACAAATTAGCTTTATTATAATTAATTAGATAATTAAGAAGTAGCCTGCGTCTTTGTGTGACATCATGTGAAAATCAAACGTAATTGGCCAATATCAGGAAAGGAACTTCTTCAAAACTCTGATTCATCCTCGGCTGCATGTTCTGGATGACTGAAGGTTCCACGTCCATCTGCTCAAACAGCTTTAGTCCAGCAAACCACGGGAGCGTCCTGCCATCATCAGGAAGGAAAATGGGAACTGTGCATATCACGCTCAAAAGAATTAAAGGACCTGGTGCAGATTCTGTTCGAGGCCGTAACAGATATTTTATCCACAGTAAAACTAATCACGTACTGACATGGACTGGAAGGGTAAGGTGCACTTCACAAAATAGATGGTATCCTGAGGAAAGAACCTTATGTGGAAATATTGAAGCAACATCTCAAGACATCAGACAGGACAGTAATGTAGGACACAAATGGGTCTTCAAAAGGGACACCAACCCTAAGCAAAGACCATCTCCAGGCAGCATGACGGCTTGTAGCCAACTTCCTTAAATGTGGCCGCGAGACGAAAACAGATAAATTGAAGAGCTGCATATTACGAATGGTCACCAAAGAGCACAGAACAAAGAGATTAGAGGGGAACATCAGTGGCAGACATCTTCTGTCACTGCTCGAGTCATAGTGGACTTAAAGGAGACAATCAAGGAGGACACCAAATCTTAATAAAGCAAGACTGGAATTTGCCAAAATGCATATTGACGAGCCCCAAAGCTTCTGGGAGAATATCAGTGAGACGGATAAAACAAAACTGGAGCTCTTTGTCAACTGGTCCCATCAGCTCTGTGGTCACGGAGCAAAAAGTCAACGCATGCGAAGAAAAGAACCTTGTACCTCCAGTGAAACATGGAGGAGGCTCAGTTCACTTCTGAGGCTGCGTCTGCTCATCTGCTGCCCGACAGAGAGGCCATGAGTCCGTCAACAAGATAATGACCCAAACACAGCTAAAAACCCAAGAATGTCTCAGAACCACACTTTGGACCATCACCAAGTGTCCTGGGCACTAATCAAATCTTATTGAACATCTGCGGAAACTACTGGATTGCGCTGATTGACTCAAAACATTCATGGAAACAGAAAATTAAGGGCAACAACCTTTTTGTCAAGATAAGTTTCATTAGGTAATTCATTCTTTTATTTCTGGTGAACCAAAATTCCAAAGAAATATCTGATCTTCACAAGTTGATTTTTAGCTGTTTAAAAAATAAAATAAAATCAGTTTCCGTACCTAACCCTAAGCTAACTGTACGCAGTAAAAAGGTCAAATAATTTTACACCAAAGTTTAGGGACTATTTAAAGGCTGACTTGGCTCACATGCCATTTTGTCACTGAAACCTCAGTAAACTTATAGTTTTTAGACTTTCATGACTATTATAAATGACATAACCGTCACTAGTCTCATTGAGGGTGACAAAACTATACTCAGTACGAATAACACATTATTTTACAGCAAAGTTTGAAATAATTACAAAGTGTACACACAAGTCATTGTCTTACATTAAGACGTAATTTACTGTCAATCCTGAAAACTTTCACTGGGGTCTTTAAGGGTCACCTACACTATAAAATAACAATAAAATAATAATCAGAATTAAAAAAATTAAATCTATACAAAATGCTGGTGAAGATTCTCAGTCATCCAGGACATG